CCATTGAGCAGTGTTTGTGTGTTTGAATAATAGTTTGTTTTTGTATGGAGTATGTGTGTGTGAATGTAGTTATGTGTTATGTATCAATGCCGTTTGAAATGAGTGGTTTACTTGTGTGTAGAGCTTGCCTTTGAATATAGGGGTGTGTTTGTGTATAGTTTCAACATTTGAATGCGGGGGTATATTTGTATGTAGTATTGGCGTTTGAAAGTTGAGATGCATATACATATACAATGATACACATACATACATAAATACATGCACGCATATACCAACACACACACATGCAGATACAAGCAGACACTGATACATATCCAAATACACAAACTAACAAGCAAAAACACATATCTACCCATTGACACACATGCAGATACAAACACTGACACACATACAGATACACAGACATACAGAGACAGATACACAGACACACAAATATACACACACTGACACATGCAGATACACAGAAACACAGAAATAAAATAAATACAGATACACTGACATACTTGTAGATACACAGGCCCAGAAATACGTACAAATACACACACAATGACACCCATACAGATACATAGATACACACAATGTCACTTGTACAGATATAAACACTGACATACACAGATACATAGGGGCACATACTGACACACATGCAGATATTCAGACACACACATACAGATACACAGACACACACTAACACACATACAGATACTCACAGATATACACACTGACACTCATGCAGATACAAATACTGAGACACATGAAGATACAAAGACACAGGAGGGTGACTTCTGCTTGCTGAGACTTTTGGAAGTTAGGAGCTGGCACTCCTCATCCCTGTGTTCTCTTTATCCCATGGTGCTTTGTGTAAGCTGGGAGAAAGTGAATGGCTACCAGGCTTGTGGCACTGTTAAAGCACTGTAGTGAAAGACTGGGCCCCTGAAGACACATTACAATCAGGTGGCATGAACTGCATGGGCCACACAATCGGCTCTCTTAGAGTGAAGGCACTGATGCAGCCATCTCGACTGCACTGGCGGTAATGACCCACTGCCTCTGAACATGTCCTGTAGTATCTGGCTCCAAGATATTAGCAGCAGGTCATTTCAGTCCTTCAAGGATTTGTTGTTCCAGCACATCCCACAAATTCTCAATCGGATTGAAATCTGGGGATTTAGGAGGTCAGGGCAACACCATGATCTTTAACAGCCTGCTTTCTTCCCAAAGTACATCCTGCTGCCATCTCTTCCCAAGGTAATCAACACACATACACCTGGCAATCCACCTGATCAAAAAGATAAAGCATCAATGGACCTTGGGTGCCCATGACCCTGACACCAGTTCACTGGTTGCACTTCCTTGAACCACTTTGGAAGGTACTAACCACTGGTAACACTCCCCAAAATTAGCCATTTTGGAGATGCTCTGATCAATATTTGACCCTTGTCAGAATTACACAGATCTTGTTGCTTGCCCATTTTTACTTCCTCCAACACATGAAATTCGAGAACTGACTGTCCACTTGCTATCCCACCCCTTGACAGGTGCTAATGTAAAAATATAATCAATGTTATTCAATTCACTTTTCAGTTGTTATATATATATATGTATAGGTCCTATTGAGCTTACCAAGTGGATTGAATTTGTCTCTGTTTAAAGAAACACTATAATGTTAGATATGCATATCTATATTACTAAACATTATTGTGTTCCTGTCCCTGGTATTATTAACCACCCCACCCCAATCAGTACTGAAAGGGTTAAAAACCCTTATTTAATTACCCTGTTTCCAGCATCAAGGCTTCTTCAGGGAGGTCCAATCCATTGCTCCTCATAGCATGGCTTCCACATCAAGTAACCAAGTAAAACTGCTGCCACCGCTAGTGGCTGTCAGTATGAGAACCACTAGAGGAGTACTCAAAATTTCAATGTAAACATTGCACTTAAGAAAAAAAAAAAAGAAAAACAGGGGTACTGTTCCTTTAATGTAAGTTTAAATATTTGTAGAGATTTCTTTTATTTTGTCTAAAGGTGTTCTATAATTGTTATATGTGCTTATATTTTGAAACATTTTATATACTAACAGGGTTCTATATCTATACCACAGGTTGTTGTTTTTTTACTGGTGTTTGGTGGGATTTTTTTGGTAGGGATTGAACACTAGTTGTAAATTTATTCACTTTCATAATTGTTTGGTTTGCTTTGTGTTTTTATTGGTCCTTATATTGTGAAATGCAGACCGCTAAATCCATACACCACTTTTTACTGTATGGTCTATGTGATATGCAAGAAAAACATATGCATGACATTTCCATAAACTCCTTAACTGAAAAGCTGTTAGATTAGTGATGTTCAAAGCCCTATTAATAGTGATGTCGCGAACCTTCAACATGGATGCTGTCCAGGAGGTGGGAGGGTCTGGGAGGGAAGGTCTGCTGGAGATTGGCCGGGATGTGTCAACTGACCGGAGCTCGTCGCGAACAGTTCGTGGCGAACCGTGGCGAGCCGTTCGCGGGAAGTTCACGAACGGTTCGCGACATCTCTACCTATTAAAGCTGCTTCTGTGGTAACAACAGCTATTGCTGACTACCAGAAAAGCAAAACATATTAAAAGAATAGTTATGTTGAACACAGTTTGTTCACATTTTTGCTACAGCTGCCAATGGTACCATTTTCAGAGGCATACTTGAAACAAACATCACATTTGGAGTGCAATAGAACCTTAGCAGTGTTGTATCACAGATAATTAATTAGATCATTAAAAACAGGTCACTGACTTTGCAAGCCCATTTACTATTCTAATAGTCATTGTGGCTTAGTTGTGAATTTACAATTGGATGCTTAAACATTTCATGATATTTTCCTACAAGTTTGCTGGTAATTTGTACAGTCCTTAATTATTGTACTACTTTTTATATTTAAGCATTAGACATGTAGTGATTCATTTTGTTTTGCATTACAATACAATGATACTATAAAAAATGTCAGTCAGCAAAACAATAAGCAGCTGATGGATGATATCACATCTTCATCACTGTTTCAGTGCAGACAAGTCGATAAACATTAGAATCTTTCATGGTGCAATGAGTACAAGCTTTGGAAAATATAGCTGTGTTCTGTCTTAAAGTCTAACAGTCAATAGATTTCACTGGAAAACATCTTGCACTGTGTGAGATTATCTATTTATTTTAGCCCATAATTGATGTATTTCCTAAAACCTCGTGAGACAATTAATATGCAGAGGCATGTCCTTTCTGTCACATATAAAATTATATTTGTTTCTTTGCTTTGTGTACAATGGTATCAAAAAGCTCAAAATTTCATGTCCAATGGCAATTTCTCATTTAATTTTTAAATAACCTTGTTTGGTGCTGTTTAAGATTAAACATTATAAAAAGAAACCATTATCAGTCTTGGTAAAGTCTCTCTTTAAAATCGACAGTTTTTTATAGGCCATGGAAGTTATTCCATTAAGTGCTAATTCATAAAATATAGAGCAGTAAAGAGTCATTATGGGTATCAGTTAAAAAAATAATAATAATTTATACTCTCTACATATAATATAAATAGAGTTGAGCGGACACCTGGATGTTCGGGTTCGACGAGTTCGGCCGAACTTCGTAAAAAAGTTCAAGCTTTGGATTTGGACTTGACCTGAACTTAACCCCGAAACCCATTGAAGTCAATGGGGACCCGAACTTTTGGGCACTAAAATGCCTCTAAAAAAGTCCTGGAAAGGGCTAGAGGGCTGCAAAAGGAAGTAAAATAGGGGTAAGAGTAGGACAAGTGCCCTGCAAACAAATGTGGATAGGGAAATCACTTAAAATAACATAAAATACATAATTTAAAATACAGCTGTGCCATAAAATAGCACTAGATGGAATCTTTGATTTGAGCTTTGGAAGAACATTAAATCAAAATCTAAAGCATGGCTGTCAGGTGGATCACCAGAATTATCCATTTGAGAGAGGGTTGAAGTGCAGGGTATTCTCTTTCATTGTTTAAACTGAGGTCAACTCCTGATGCATGGAGAAGAGGCCTTTACAAACCTCTGCTATTGTGTACATAGTTTATACTAAGTGACCCATAGGTTACCGTGGTGGTGTAGGTGGAAGCAGCGGTGGAGGAGGAGGAAGCCCCCAACACACATACATACAATTTTTTTTTTTTTATTGGGGTAGCCCCCAAAATATTGGGACATATAAAAAAAAGAAACATTTGTGGCGTGTGGTGCATTTCTTGCAGTCCAATAATGCCATCAGGTTTTTAAAACTGTCCGTCTCCACCAGACGGAATGACAGCATTTCAAAGGCCAGAAATTTTGAAATGGTGGCATTCAGTGTCAGGGATCGCGGGTGGTTAGGGGGGTACTTCCTCTTTCTCTTCAGTGTTAGGGAGATGGACAGCTGAACGTTTCCATGGTACAGTGTGGAGATGTGGACAATTGTGTACCTGGCCTATGCTGGTGCAGGAACCCACCCTCCGAGCCACTTGTGAATGACTGGCCTGATAACCGTGCCACATCCTCTTCCATCATCGCCCAAAGCGTTTTTTCAAGGAGACATAGAAGCGGGATAGTAAGGCTGAGAACGGCGTCATCGGCACTGGCCATGTTGGTGGCGTCCTCGAAACAGCACAACATGGCACACAGGTCTCGCATGGAGGCCCACTCATTGGTGGTGAAGTGGTGCTGTTCCGCAGAGCGACTAACCCGTGCGTGCTGCAGCTGAAACTCCGCTATCGCCTGCTGCTGCTCGCACAGTCTCTCCAGCATTTGCAAGGTGGAGTTCCACCTCGTGGGCACGTCGCATATGAGGCGGTGAGCGGGAAGGCCGAAGTTATGCTGCAGTGCAGACAGGTGAGCAGCAGCAGGGTGAGAACAACAAAAGCACGCACAGACGGCCCGCACTTTCTGCAACAGCTCTGATATATCTGGGTATACAGTGTGGCGGTGTAGGTGGAAGCGGCGGTGGTAGAGGAGGAGGCGGTAGATAACACATATACATACACATACACACATATATACATACATACTTATTTTTTTCTTTTTTTTAATTGGGGTAGCCCCCAAAATATTGGGACATATAAAAAAAAAAAAAAAGAGAATAAGTGCACTTGAGTATAACAATGGCTGGGCGAGGCCGGTATAAATGTCTATTCTGCACAAGGTACAGACAAGTCTGGTGGGATCCATGCCTGGTTCATTTTAATAAACGTGAGCTTGTCCGTTGCACTTGTCTGTGATAACCTCATGCCGATCGCACATCCCTTTGACGGCGACAACGTATTTGGATGTCTGCCCTATCAACTTTCAATGCTATTTTCCGCGCCTACCATAGTGACCACGGGTAACGGGGAATCAGGGTTCGTTTCCAGAGAGAGAGCCTGAGAAACGGCTACCACATGCAAGAAAGGCAGCAGGCGTGCAAATTAACCACTCCCGACGCAGGGAGGTAATGACGATAAATAACAATACACAACTCTTTCGAGGCCCTGTAATTGGAATGAGTACACATATGAGACGGTGAGCGGGAAGGCCGAAGTTACGTGCAGCGCAGACAGGCGAGCAGCAGCAGGGTGAGAACGCCGAAAGCGCACCCAGCCATTACACAGAAACTGCAAATGGCTCATTAGGAGTCATTAAATTAGTTATGGTTCCTTTGATCGCTCCATCTGTTACTTGGATCCGCTTTTGCATCCTGCTCCCTCTTATGCTGATGTAGTAAATTTGAATCAAAGATCCATTTGCCAAAAAAAATTCTTGCCTATCTTCTGTGGGTTATTGCATTTTTAAGATGTAGACTTATTGTATCACACAAGCCATGCACAATTAAATTGTCTGGCACAATATGAAGTGCACACCCCAAATGTACTATTTAGCACCAAAAAAATTAGAATTTTTAAAACTGCACTGTAAGCACAGTATTTGACGGTTCTATTTGACTCTCAGATATGAAGTGCAGGCCCCAAATTTACTTTTTAGCACCTAAATAATTAGAATTAGGCAAACTGCAATGTCACAGCAGTATTTGATGGTTCTATTTGACTCTCAGATATGAAGTGCAGGCCCGAAAAGGAACTATTTAGCACCAAAGAAATGTGAATTAGTCAAACTGCAATGTCACAGCACTATTTGACGGTTCTATTTGATTCTCAGATATGAAGTGCAGGCCCCCAATTTACTATTTAACACCTAAAGAATTCGAATTTTTAAAACTATGTCACAGCACTATTTGACAGTTCTATTTGACTCTCGGATATGAAGTGCACACACCAAATGTACTATTTAGCACCAAAGAAATGTGAATTAGTCAAACTGCAATGTTACAGCACTATTTGACGGTTTTATTTGACTTTCAGATATGAAGTACAGGCCCAAAAAGGAACTATTTAGCACCAAAGAAATGTGAATTAGTCAAACTGCAATGTCACAGCACTATATGACGGTTCTATTTGACTCTCAGATATGAAGTGCAGGCCCCCAATTTACTATTTAGCACCTGAAGAATTCGAATTTTTAAAACTATGTCACAGCACTATTTGACTGCAATGTCACAGGACTATTTGACGGTTCTATTTGACTCTCAGATATGAAGTGCAGGCCCCCAATTTACTATTTAGCACCTGAAGAATTCGAATTTTTAAAACTATGTCACAGCACTATTTGACTGCAATGTCACAGGACTATTTGACGGTTCTATTTGACTCTCAGATATAAAGTGCAGGCCTGAAAAGGAACTATTTAGCACCAAAGAAATGTGAATTAGTCAAACTGCAATGTCACAGCACTACTTGACGGTTCTATTTGACTCTCAGATATGAAGTGCAGGCCCCCAATTTACTATTTAGCACCTAAATAATTAGAATTAGGCAAACTGCAATGTCACAGCAGTATTTGATGGTTCTATTTGACTCTCAGATATGAAGTGCAGGCCCGAAAAGGAACTATTTAGCACCAAAGAAATGTGAATTAGTCAAACTGCAATGTCACAGCACTATTTGACGGTTCTATTTGATTCTCAGATATGAAGTGCAGGCCCCCAATTTACTATTTAGCACCTAAAGAATTTGAATTTTTAAAACTATGTCACAGCACTATTTGACAGTTCTATTTGACTCTCGGATATGAAGTGCACACACCAAATGTACTATTTAGCACCAAAGAAATGTGAATTAGTCAAACTGCAATGTTACAGCACTATCTGACGGTTTTATTTGACTCTCAGATATGAAGTACAGGCCCAAAAAGGAACTATTTAGCACCAAAGAAATGTGAATTAGTCAAACTGCAATGTCACAGCACTATTTGACGGTTCTATTTGACTCTCAGATATGAAGTGCAGGCCCCCAATTTACTATTTAGCACCTGAAGAATTCGAATTTTTAAAACTATGTCACAGCACTATTTGACTGCAATGTCACAGCACTATTTGACGGTTCTATTTGACTCTCAGATATGAAGTGCAGGCCTGAAAAGGAACTATTTAGCACCAAGGAAATGTGAATTAGTCAAACTGCAATGTCACAGCACTACTTGACGGTTCTATTTGACTCTCAGATATGAAGTGCAGGCCCCCAATTTACTATTTAGCACCTAAAGAATTAGAATTTTTAAAACTGCTATGTCACGGCAGTATTTGACGGTTCTATTTGACTCTCAGATATGAAGTGCAGGCCTCAAATGTACAATTTAGCACCTAGAAAATTTTAATGTTTAAAACTGTGCTGTAACCACAGTATTTGACAATTCTATTTGACTCTCAGATATGAAGTGCACCGCACTTACCTAAGAAGGACAAAGTGACTGACTTAAAATAGTTTAACAATTAACTTTATTAATTACCAACTAAAAACCGTAGTAACTAGCAAAACGCAAAAACCCTAGTTAAAATGAAGTGAGATTAAACCTACTTCGTGTGAAAAATGTACTTTGCCAACTATTTGCTGTAACATGATAAATATGTGAAGAGACCAAGTTGATCTATCTCACTTATGTCCCTTCAAAAGTAAGAACAATGAGGAATACTACACATGATCAGTAAATATTAAAGGTTAACCTTATATATCTAAGGTGGTATGCTTCAGGGCAATACAGTAACAAATAGAAAGACTGAGCTCTCAATGTGAACGCAACACATTTTATAAATATTTAAGTTTAATTTGCCGCGATAAATGTGAAGCAAGCTAACCACTATACACAAAACACAATAAAGTTAGTAAATCCACTCTTTGCAACAGAAAATAACATTTTTTTGTTGTTCATTTAAACAATATGCAATCATTTATATATCAAATGTATGGTGATAAGAAAAAATAAAATGTCATTAATGTCATGTACTACTCCAAAGAAGTTGGGGAAGGTTAGGGGTAGCAGGAGTGGCCCTGTTCCCCGATTCACCATAAGCACTAGTGCCATAGCTTCTGAGAGTTTGAACACCTTTGACATGAGGAACAATGACACTTCAGTCACTGCTGCCTCCACTACCACCACCACCACCACTATTAGTAGCATTCAACCTAAGGATAGTGGGGTTAGCAGCATGTGTGTTATGTCCGACCGCCGCCCAGACAGTGTTTGGATCCTGGTCACCGGACTGCCCACCTCACTGTGAAACTACGAATGGATCTTTAAATCTGGTATGAACCTGCGCTCAAGTCTATTATGGATCCTTTTAAAGCTACATATATTACTTGGATTACTGGTAATTCTCGAGCTAATACATGCCGACGAGCGCTAGGGGACGCCGCTCCGCTTTTGCACCCTGCTCCCTCTTATGCTGTGCTGGTGCCTCTGTGCGACCAGTGCCTCTTCCTCCAAACTGCACATGTCACTCGCATGACCTTGATTCCATGTGGGGTGTAGGACATCATCATCCTGCACATCATCTTCCACCCACTCCTCAACCCTGCCCTCCTTGCCGGTATGAACACTGCAGAAAGCCACATCAGTTGGCACCTTTGTTTTTCCAGCATGTAAAGTCTGCAAAGGACAAATGGAAATTGTTTTAGAATTGTATCCAGGCAACAGTTTTCCCTATAAACTGATCTCTCAGTTTGACTTGTGATGGTATTGCCCCAGCCAGCATTACAATATTTTTTAAGTACCTCTTATCTATTGATCACTGGTTTAAATATAGCAGCTTGTTATCTGATAGTTTCTAGTATAGAAAATATCAGTCTGTTTTCTATCACTTAGATCTGTGTAACAAGTGTTGTAGGTGTGAAACAATATTACAAGTGACCGATGTAAAGTAAATTCAAATCAAAGTTACGCTTCGATTTGACTCTCAGATATGAAGTGAACACCCCAAATATACTATTTAGTGCCCCCCAAAAAATTGACTTTTTAAGACTCCAATGTAAGCAGCAGATTAGCAGCAAAACAATTAGAATGTTTACCACTGCGCAGTAAGTGCACTATTTGACGCTTCTATTTGACTCTCAGATATGAAGTGCACTGCAGGCCCCAAAATGTACTATTTAGCAGATTAACAGCAAAACAATTAGAATGTTTACAAGTGCGCAGTAAGCACACTATTAGATGCTTCGATTTGACTCTCAGATATGAAGAACAGGCCCCAAAATGTACTATTTAGCAGATTAGCACCCAGAAAATAAGAATGTTTACCACTGCGCTGTAAGCACACTATTTGACGGTTCTATTTGACTCTCAGATATGAAGAGCAGGCCACAAAATGTACTATTTAGCAGATTAGCTACAAGAAAATAAGTGTTTACCACAGCGCTGTAAGCACACTATTATATGCTTCTATTTGACTCTCAGATATGAAGAACAGGCCACTAATGTACTTTTTAGCACCCAAAAAAATTTAAGTTTTAAAACTGTAATGTGACAGCAGTATTTGACTCTTCTATTTGACTCTCAGATATGAAATGCACCCCACTAATGTACTATTTTGCACCAAAAATATTTACTTTTTAAAACTCTGATGTAACCGCGGTATTTGAAGCTTCTATTTGACTTTCAAATAAGAAGTGCACCCCACTAATGAACTAGTTTGCAGAATTCTTTCCTAAGCTGTCCCTATCAACGGCAGCATCCTCTCCCTACACTAATAAGACCGCATGTGCGTGCGGCACTACGTGACTTCAGCTTATATATAGAGGTTGGGTCACATGCTGCACTGGCTAATCACAGCCATGCCATTGGTAGGCTTGTAAGGGCACATGAGTCAAATGCTTGTTGATTGGCTGCCCTGCAGCCTTTAAAAAAACGCCATTAAATCGCCGAACACCGAACTCCAACTCGAACATACAGTGATATGTCCAGGTCCGGGGTCCAAAAACCCTAATGTTCGGTATGAACCCGAACTTTTCAGTTCAGGTTCGCTGAACTCTAATTTTAACACCTTGCATCATATTATAGAATTTTAAAACTGAAGACATACCTTTCAATCCTCTGTTCATTTGCATTATAGTTAAACCTTTTATGACTTTTT